CATGGAGACGCAATCGATGAATTTTCTTTCTAATATAAAACTTGAATGATGATTAAGGCTAGCAGTATGATCGTGATAGTACTCGTACTATAGTAATTCTATCATTGTCACGGTACAATCATTAAACCATGACCAGCCCAAGAATATGATCATTCGCCATGAGGAGTCCGAGAACGGCCCCGTTGCCCCGCCGTCACGGTGACCTTGAGTCAAGCTTTCAAGTTTTGCTGTGACTGATCGTGCGCTCTTTCCCTTGCTCCTCTGCACCGTACCTTACTGCACTTCTGCAAATGATTTATGTATATGACCTGAATGTACTATCAGGGTTGGCCAACCAGCAAGAACAAATTGTACTTAGTAACTGCGGGATCATAGGGAGCCGGACAATCTATCAGAAAGCTTTCAAAAGTCATGTAATATGACGCATAGGTGAGAGCATACTGCAACTTCAACAGAACCGGTAGCATCTGGAGTATTGTCTCTAGCCTTGAGCAATTGCAGCTGTCACAGCGGTGTGGGGAACTGGCATGATGCTATAGATTTGCTTAGCAGATGCAAGAGCCGGAAAGCCTTAAAAGTCGTGTCATTTTAGTAGCAATATCACGTTGGATTACATAGCCATACCTACAATCTCAAGGGCTTGACACATGAAGATATCCATCGAGGACATCGAGATTGAGAGAAGCGCGCTGTGCATCTTGTGATGGTGGTATGTACACGACATTGGTGTGGTGTTTAATGATAGCAATATCACGTTAGCCATACCTACAATCTCAAGGACTAGACAACATGAAGATAATCATCGAGGACATCGAGGTTGAGAGAAGCGCGCTGTGCATCTTATGGTGGTGGTATGTATGTACAAGTCAGACCATTCACAGTATAAAAACTAATATTTGGTGAGAGCAGATTTAAATCGTGTTATACTTCCCACGGCAACGATATCAAGGACTCATCAGTTCGCTGATGGAAGTGAACGTTCTTGCCTTTCAGTGCGTACTCTATCGAGACTAGCATAGGAGTGACTAGACCAATACTAGTGGCAGCTCGCCGCGCACGCCGTGGATCCTTCATCAGGCTACTCCGTCCAGGCCAAAATGGTGCACTTCTACTCCCTCCACCCTGCTCAACCCAAACTCGGGGCACTTGTTAGCGTCCAGCATTGTGGAGGCGGCGCTCTCACTAATTCCCCGCTACACACGAAACCCATGGTAGGGCGCCTCCCTGTCCTTCACCTGTCAACTTTTCAACCTCCGAGTGGGATTTAGTGAAAACAATGATCAACAGGTGCCTACACTTCCATTGTTGCAGGGAGTACAACCATATTTATTCTAGTCATTGTACGAACACCAGAGGAAAAACTGTCGCATGCTAGATCCAGCTCATTAGGACTCCATGCGATGACAGTAGATGACGAGCTCACCCAATGGCACTGTATGGTATCTCGAGATCAGCCCAGACACGGCGGGCACTGAAAGGCGAACGGGATGCAATGTTGACACTGTAACCGGATTCGCTAAACCCCCGGGTCCCAGGTCCCAAGTCCCCACTAGGTCCCGACCTGAATACCACCCCCTGAAGACAGCGCGATGTCAGCGGCGGGCCAGAAGATTTACCTCATTATCTCACGCCCGAGCTTACTAAAGCTATCTGAGCTGACGTAGGCTAGGTTGCTTAAGCCATGGTGCGGGCCGGTGCAACCGACAGCAGAGATACTGACACCAGCATGGTAGAGAGAAGTCAAGCAGCTGAGAACCTCGGCAAATGTGGCCAAGAAACGCGGCATGAAGAGGGTCAGGAGGACTCAGGTTATATCCACTGTACTGTCCATGCCGCGGGCAATGTCTGCGAAGGTCAGCAACTTAATTGGATGATCATCTCTTGCATGTTCGCAGCGTCCTTAATCTGTGGATCTTGGTGCACGTCAAACGTTTCCCTCAAAACCTGGGCGTGTTCAAGGTCGCTTAGGAGACAGATGGGAGCGTGGTGAAATCAAGACATACCTGTGGTGTCTGGTGAGGACTCACTCTCTAGCTCAAAGAACAAGAACCACCGTGTGTCGTCGGGCAGTTAAGATAAAAGCAGTGCTAATGGTGGAAACACGAGTGTCAGTGGGATACCATGTAAGGGCTGAGAGCAGACAGGGATTCCGTCTTGGCCAGACGCTCACCTGATCGATCCGTGTACGTTGTGGCATGACCGAAAGCCTTGAATCGTTCACGTGAAATCGTAGGTATACTACTCACTGATGCGAAGGGATGCGCTGGAAAAACCATGACAGACTAGGGAGTGACAGTCTTGGGTAGTTTTGATTCAGAGCCAGCAGGATGATGACATGTCCAACTCGACTCTGCCTGCGATGTGGAAACGAAGTAAAATTATCTAAGGCGTGTCCCTAAAGCCCATCAGGTACTGCATAATCTGGAAGGCAGCCTAAAATTATCGGTTCCTGTGTTAGGGCGCACCTGCACATTAGTATTGCTGACTTACCACTGGCGCGAACTGTGGAATCCTACAGAAGACATCAGAAACGGGACGCTGTGAATTGCGGTGAACTCACATGTGTCCACTCAAGGCTACTTCGTAATATGTGAGTCCCCGCTCCGAATGTGTTGTGCCATAGGCACCCACACCATCGACAATGAAGCTGTCATTAGCGATAGGCGTCTGGAATCCTTGCAACCCATTCCCTGAGAATATAATGAGTGATTAGTAGCGTGCATCAAACATTATGAGTCACGCACAGGTCATGCTACAGATGAATCCTATCAATGAAAGTGATACAATCACACTCAAGAACGCACTTACTTTTGAATGGCAATTCTGGTTCTAAATCATCGAACCGTACGTCAGAATATACGAAGATCAAGGGTCGAAGGTGGAGTCATACCCATCAGCAATGAGAATGAAGTCGGCGAGACCGTGCACAATGACGGTCCGCTGGTTCTTCTCGATAACATTCGGTAACACAGTGAAGACAGGAGGCAAGCTGCTGTCTCCGTTGGGGAAAACATTAATATTGGAGCATTCCGACCACTGGGTCTCAACGGGCGCGTGGATAGCTTCCTTGACATCTATTCGGTTAAAGTAGATTGGAGACTGCGTCTGTGGGAATGACCCTCTAGGTCTTCATTAGCCAGGGTCGCATTCAGTCAACGATTGAATAGCCTACGGGAAACCTAAGACATCCCATAGAATCGGATACTTGCGTGGAGAAGAAGTCAATATAGTACTCATTAAAATCCATTTCGACTCACAGTATCCCAGATGCGATAGACATCGAAAGCAGGGTTGATGATCAATGCATTATAGAAAATGTCGTCCCAGACATCACAGCCCTCGGCAAACTCGACAGAATCTCCAGGCAGGGGAAGAAGACCTGTTGGAGGGTATGTGACGTACTTATCCATGTAGCCAGTGTAATTGCACGTTGCGCCCTTCTCGTTGAGGTAGTCCGTGTACGTTTGACTAAATATCAATCGGTCAGTGACCTGCAACTAGATCCGAGTGAAATGAACAGACTTGAAAGAAAAGAGACCAGCGTATTTGTTCACGAAGTCGACTGCAGGGATCTCCTCTTGCACCACATCCCACGATATCGAAGCTGAGGGATTTCATGTATAAGCACTTGGGAAGAGACACAACAAGTCAAAATGTTACTTACGATCACTGATCCATATTCCCTGCAACGAGAGGTCTAATTGAGTGGGGTTCTCGTAGATATAGTTGGCGATATCTTCATAGGTCTTTAAGTCACGCTCAAAAAAAACGACTTCTGACTCACAAGGCACGTATGTTCCAGCGTACTGAATGCAGTCAATACGACGTTTACCGGACTCTCTGAAAACTTACACTTTCACCCGTTAGATACAGCTTTTTGCCTTGGAGCTCCGAAAAGACCTCAAGGAACTGCTGCAAGAAGCCGACGAGTTGAATAGCAACATCATCCTCGTTCTGTGCGTCTGGGATGCCTTGAGAAAATCCTGTTCCAACAGGTTGCTCCACCCAAAGGACGGAGGATAGGTTGGTCCAGCTCTGTTGATTCACCGTTGGTTTGGCCTGACCCCAAGACCAACTGAAAGGCTTCAAACATTTCAGTTATAGATGAGTCTTGTCGTCGACAAGGAGGCTTACCCCATTCTCTTGCAGCAAACCTTCGAGGGAGGAGCAACCAGGGCCACCGTTTGTCCTTCAAGTATAAGATGTCTGGTCAGCAACGAACATCACAGCACTTCTAATGACGCACCAAAATATTAGATCATCAAGACTCCCTTCGGGGCCTGGAGGAAAAAACCAGAAATAGAGCTGATGTCCTTATTTTCAGCAAAGGACGTGCATAGGCTACCCGTATACTTGCCTGACGAGTCTCATTAGGGCTGTTGCTGATAGGTAGAAGACCTGCCCAGCTAGGACCGACGTCGAAATCAACAAGAGGGAGGGATGTGCCATCGACATAAAATTCTACACGAAGATAGATCAGACTTATTAGATGTCTACTTGTAGCACTTTATTCACCTGAAGCCTTTGGATTCGTGAATGTGATATTCTGAACACCACTGCGCTTGACGCTCCGACTTTGAGAGCCACTAGTCTGCCAACGCTTTGCTGCCTCCAGTTGGTGTTCGCCAATCTCGCGCCTGGTCTTATGAGCGCTAGCGGCGACCACTGCGAGCAGAGCCGCAAATATGGCGAGAAGACGCATCACCGTCGAACAAGCGAACTTGAGTTTGTGAGGGGGAACTAGGGAGTTGTCTGGTATTGTGCATGCGACTTTTATTTAAGATATGGGTATTTCTGTACTGATGGGAACGGACAATTAAGAAATTGAGTGCACATGTATATCGAGTGATGATCATGGCGGCACCATGTGTTCTTCGGTCGCGCACTGGCAGCTATTCGTGGCCCGGGTCGGATCAGCTGATTAATCGTGATTAGCACATGTGTACTGGTACTCACGGTCCTTGGTGGCTGTTGTTCAAGACGAGGATATTGGGCAACCCATGCATGAGTTGCTGTGCTCAACCTGTGAGTGCTCCGAGTCACTGCTGGTTGTTCGTTTCTCAAAATCTTCACGAGTTGCAGACGCAGTGCGAATGTATCTGTTGGTTGTCCCGCATTGCTCGGTGGCAGATCGATCTGTCAATTACTAGGTGAAGTGATGGCGCATGTACAGTGTCGGGATTCTGGCCGGTGTTAGTATTGCAAGTCTGGGTACCCTCGGCAGGCTCGGCAAAGTCAGCCACTGATATTAATATTAATGCTACCTTCGGCACAGGAAGCCAAAGGAGTACAAAGCTTGTATAAAGCACGACTTCGTGACCTGTCTAATGAGGCAAGCCGTCGATTACACTGTAAGGCTACTTCAAAGCTGACCAATGATTCTATTTTCATGTCTAACTACCTCACTAAAGCACATCTACTTCAAGTGCTCAAACCCTTAGTCTTTACGCAGTGCTAGTATCTAGCTAAGGTGTATCCCTAAAGCCCATCAAGTACTGCATAATCTGGAAGGCAGGCTGAAATCATTGGTTCCTGCGTTAGGACGTACGTGCACGTCAGCATTGCCGACTCACCACTGGCGCAAACTGTGGAATCCTACGGAAGACATTAGAAATGAGACCCTGCGCAATGCGGTGAACTCACATGTGTCCACTCAAGGCTACTTCGTAATAAGTGAGTCCTCGCTCCGAGTGCATAGTGCCATAGGCACCCACACCATCGACAATGAAGCTGTCGTTAGCAATAGGTGTCTGGAATCCTTGCAAACCATTCCCTGAGAATATAATGAGTGATTAGTAGCGTGCATCAAACATTATGAGTCACGCACAGGTCATGCTACAGATGATTCCTATTGATGAAAGTAATACAGTTAGAGTCAAGAACGCACTTACTTTTGGATGGCAATTCTGGTTCTAAATCATCGAACCGTGCGTCAGGATATACAAAGATTAAGGGTCGAAAACAAAGCCATACCCATCAGCAATGAGAGCGAAGTCGGCGAGACCGTGCACAATGACAGTCCGCTGGTTCTTTTTGATAACATTAGGTAACACAGTAAAGGCAGGAGGCAAACTGCTGTCGTTGTTGGGGAAGACATTGTTAGAGCATTCAGCCCATCTGGTATTCACGGGCGCATGGATAGCTTCCTTGACATCCGTTCTATTAAAGTAGATCGGAGACTGCGTCTGTGGGAATGACCCTCTAAGTCTGCGTCAGCCGAATTCCATGAGTCAATAACCGAATGGCCTACGGGAAACCTAAGACATCCCATAGAATCGGATACTTGCGTGGAGAAGAAGTCAATATAGTACTCATTGACATCCATTTCGACTCACAGTATCCCAGATGCGAAAGACATTGAAAGCGGGGTTGATAATCAATGCATTATAGAAAATGTCGTCCCAGACATCACAGCCCTCGGCAAACTCGACAGAGTCTCCAGGCAGGGGAAGAAGACCTGTTGGAGGGTATGTGACGTACTTATCCATGTAGCCAGTGTAATTGCACGTCGTGGCCTTCTCGTTGAGGTAGTCCGTGTACGTTTGACTAAATATCAATCGGTCAGTGACCTGCAACTAGATCCGAGTGAAATGAACAGACTTGAAAGAAAAGAGACCAGCGTATTTGTTCACGAAGTCGACTGCAGGGATCTCCTCTTGCACCACATTCCACGAGATTGAAGCTGAGGAGTTTCATGTATAAGCACTTGGGAAGAGACACAGCAAGTCAAAATGCTACTTACGATCACTGATCCATATTCCCTGCAATGAGAGGTCTAATTGAGTGGGGTTCTCGTAGATATAGTTGGCGATATCTTCATAGGTCTTTAAGTCCCGTTCAAAGAAAATGACTTCTGACTCACAAGGCACGTATGTTCCAGCGTACTGAATGCGGTCAATACGACGTTTACCGGACTCTCTGAGAACTCACACTTTCACCCGTCAGATACAGCTTTTTGCCTTGGAGCTCCGAAAAGACCTCAAGGAACTGCTGCAAGAAGCCGACGAGTTGAATAGCAACATCGTCCTCGTTCTGTGCGTCTGGGATACCTTGGGAAAATCCGGTTCCAACAGGTTGCTCCACCCAAAGGACAGAGGATAGGTTGGTCCAGCTCTGTTGATTCACCGTCGGTTTGGCCTGACCCCAAGCCCAACTGAAAGGCTTCAAACATTTCAGTTATAGATGAGTCTTGTCGTCGACAAGGAGGCTTACCCCATTCTCTTGCAGCAAACCTTCGAGGGAGGAGCAGCCAGGGCCACCGTTTGTCCTTCAGGTAAAAGATATTATCTCAACGTGAATGTTGGTGTACACTAACGCACCAAAAGATTAAATCATCAAGACTCCCTTCGGGGCCGGGAGGAAAAAACCAGAAATAGAGCTGATGTCCTTAATTTCAGCAAAGGACATGCATGGCTACCGATGTACACACCTGACGAGTCTCATTAGGGCTGTTGCTGATGGGTAGAAGACCTGCCCAGCTAGGACCGACGTCGAAGTCAACGAGAGGAAGGGATGTGCCATCGACATAAAAATCTGGACGAAGATAGATCAGACTTATTCTACCTGTAGCACTTCATTCACCTGAGGCCTTTGGATTCGTGAATGTGATATTCTGAGCACCACTGCGCTTGACGCTCTGACTTTGAGAGCCGTTAGTCTGCCAACGCTTTGCTGCCTCCAGTTGGTGTTCACCAATCTCGTACTTGGTCATCCTACGAGCGTTAGCGGTGACCACTGCAAGCAGAGCCGCAAATACGGCGAGAAGATGCATCGATGTTGAGCAAGCCGACTTGAATTTGTGAGGGGGAAATAGGGAGTCGTCTGGTATCGTACATGGGACATCTATTTAGAATATCGGTATTCTTCTGTGGATGATCATGGCGGCCCATCATGATTCTGGCAGTTAATGTCGGGGGCTTAGGGTCAGAGTTCATCCCCGCGAATCTGGAGTTCTGCCAAGTTTTGCCCACAGTAAAATTCATATTCTTCAAGTCGCGCAGCCATACGTGGCCCATCGGATAAGCAACTTCAATAGCCGATTGATCGTGGTCAGTACACGTACTATACCTGATTCTTTACTCACGGTACTTGCTGGTTCAACCTGGTTGCTGTCACGACTGGCCGTGGAGACTTATCCAGGTTCGCCCCCATTGTTTCCAAGGGCAAGAAAACTGTCTAACTCCACTACTGAAATAGCAGTCGAGGTAAGGCGCAAATCGAAGTGAAGGAAGGTATGCAGCGCCCGACGGGGTCCGTCAATGAGCTATTTGGCTCCGAGAAGCATCTCAGCTGCAGACCGGTAGTCATGCATTCATAGACCACCCATTGAAGGTTCCATAATTGCGCGGTATTATCGTATGACGTGTTTGCTAGGATGCAACCATTCGCGAATACAACCATAAGTCTATTTCGAACCTCACTTTCAGTACGGCGTCTGCGATTGATTGAACAACTCGATCCTTTGTGAGAGTGAGGGTCCTGGCAGACCAGAGTGCTAAGCGCTTACTTAAGTTTGAAATGGGCGAGGCGGTGCACACTAAGACTAAGAGCCAGCCATACGAGTTCTAGAACTGAAACTCAGCATTGCATACGGAGGTCAAAAAAGATCGACATACCGTTGGGATGGTCAAACAGCCGATGTCGGAGCAAGAAACAGCAACAAGGCTAGTATGTGCAAAGGGATGTTAGGAGCGCGCAGGATCAAGAGAACACGGAAATTAGTCGATAGGACATGGAAACTCTGAAGCGAAGTTCAAATGATAAATGACCGGCAGAAGCCACGTTGACAGCTAAGGGGTCACTGCATCCGTATCCATATGTGTTGGGACATGTTCGCTATAACAGCATGATTAGGATTGAGTAAATGATCGTATGAAATTAATGGGCATCGTGGCACTTACCATCAAAAGACTGGCGCTGCCTCGTGGAATCCATGCTTGCGGTGCATGCAAGACTCACCTTCATTGTTGGCTGGCTACCATTGAAGAACCAGCAGAACAACCGGTGAGTACTGTGCAACTGTTCCCGTAGTTTTCAATCATGAACAGTGTCAGAACCAGAATAAACCATACGGGCAGCTTACGGTAACGAACTATGCCCCCGCTTGCGATTCAGATGCCGACCATTGAGGAAAATACGTCTTCTGTGTCTGAACCCCCTGCAATGCCAGCCACTGAGGAAATTCAAACCACAGCGCAACCCGGGAAACCAGCTCCAAAGTACCGATTCAAGGGCCACGAAAATCAAATTTTGGATTTCGTCTTCTTGCGCGACAACGTCCACATCGTGAGTGGGTCGTTGGATGGCAGAATGCGCAAGTGGAACTGCGACACAGGACTTCCTGTTGGGAAACCATGGTCAGGCGAGGGCGGAATAATACATGCACTGGCTCTTTCACCGGACGGGAAGACAATTGCATGCGGGAGGGACGACGGAAGCGTTCAGCGGTGGAACACCGAAGGAGAGATGATTGAAGGCATTTGGACAGGTCATAAAGAGTTGGTACGGTCGCTGTCGTGGTCTCCCAATGGAAATCATATTGCAAGCGGATCCGACGATGGAACAATCCTGATTCGAAAAGTACTTGAAAGCGGAGAAATCGAGGTAGGCCCGATCAAAACGAAGCAGGATGGTGTGCTTGCACTTGCATATTCACCTTCGGGCGACAAAATCGCATCAGGCGGGAAGAACCAGATGATTTGCATTTGGGACTCGAAGACAGGCGAGCTCGTCGTCGAGCCCATCGGAGACCTTGGGCACTATGTGTGGTCTGTGGTGTGGTCGTTGGACGGCACCAAGTTGTATGCCGCTTTGGGACATTTCGCACGCGCTTTCGACAGTAGTTCAGGCACAGAACTTTGTAGCTTCGAGCACACTCATCCGCTGATTTCCGTTGCGCTTTCACCCAAACACAATGTGCTAGCATGCGTGGGCATAGGAAATATTGCACGACTATGGGATACAAAGTCCCGTCAGCCTCTCGGTCAGCCATTTAATCAAGAGGACGGAATCGCTTTGTGTGTGGCATTCTCCCCGGATGGCAAATATGTAGCATATGGAGGAACGAACAACACAGTCACTTTGTGGGTGGTAAAAGAGATAGTTCCAGAGATTACAGTACGTGCTTTCACAACCATACTTCTAAGTAACAAGCTACACAGCAGGAAACTCGTCTCTAGTCGCCACCACCGTCTTGCCTCGAAGTCAGTACTCTTGCATTTGACTGACTACCTTCATTCTCTTGCTCATAGAAATATCACAGGTCGACGCTACAAATCCTTTGGCACAATCAGAGAGTGATGATTATGGCGATTTTTTTCAGGTGAGCTTCGTGTTTCGTCAAGCAGACGGCACAAGTATTGATGATGAGCATTCGAAGTCTTATCTTCCTTCGGCACCACCTGGCCCATCTCATCGTTCCCAGAATACTCAATCATCCTCCGCTCGCCGCTTTTGGAACATCCCCATCCCCTTTCGACATGGTCCGACAGCAAGTGAGTCCATTGCGCTGCAGCAACACCCCAAACACAGTTTCTTCGGGGGCCGCTCGGGATCACAGCCTGTAACAGTCTCTGCCGTACATGAAATCAAGGTAAGCAATGTACTAGTTGTCCCTCGTTTTGTTGTTGGACTTATATGTAACTGATTTTTCAGAGGCGCTGGATAGCGCGTCCTCCTGTGGAGACTAATGCTCAGGCCGGTCTGTCGTCCTCAACGATAACACACCCTGCAGCGCAGCCAAACTCGACGCCTCAGCCTCCTGAGGCAGGGGCGACAACACAGCAACTTTCTCAGCAAGCTCACGGTTGTTGGGGAAATTTTTGCCTCGCACTCGGGTGCATCCCACGCCGCCCTCTTCCTGTTGTCCCCGCTGCTCAGCCTTCTACCTCGTAATATCACGTTACCAAGTATGTTTCATTTTTTTCCTACATATCAGTCTCGTCAACTCCACTTTTTCGTTTTTAATCACCTTTTATTCTCTACATACATCAGATTTCTTGCTATCGCTCGCGTGCTGCATGCGTGCCTGGCTGATGATCCATTCACAAATGGATTGTATATGCTCTACTCGTACATTCTGAAGTACTTAGTATTAGAAATAATTTGACAATGTTCATATTTACGATAGGGCTCCTGTGTGATCCCCATTGCATCATTACCTGGACCTCCTAGAAATTCACATCGTGATATCGAGAGGACTTATGTAATGTCGATTCCAGAGCATGGTTCCAAACATGATTTCAATTCCACATTAATATTGCTGAGCTAGTTTCGCTGTACCCGCAACGTGTATGCACCTTCTTGCGCCATCATGGATATCAAATACCCTTCTATCTTCTATCAAGACCTTCAATGATATCATGTATTCATAGTTCCCACTCCATCCACAGGAATTACTACCACCTGGGGTCGCGATTAAGCAAACAGCAAAAAAGCACCAAGATTACCGTGCTTCCGAGCCACAGCTCAAGGAAAAGCATCAGGGGATTCACAAGTTACCCAACGACAATGCTGACCTGAGTCCTGGAGAATTGACCTTTGAAGAAGGTGCGGCTTCTCGCTATTCCTTCAACCAAGTTACTCGTCTGACATCATCCGGATACTGCGGGAGGCATGGGTCGTCACCTTGGTGTAATGTCTTGCACTCTCCCTATCGTTGGAAATATTATCGGCACCGGTATATTCTCAACTCCATCCTCCATCCTCTCCAGTGTGGGCTCAGTCGGCGCTTCTCTCATGCTTTGGGTCCTTGGTTTCTTGCTTAGCTTCTGTGGACTCTTTATATGGCTTGAGTTCGGCACCATGTTTCCTCGAAGTGGCGGAGAGAAGGTATACCTCGAGGCCATCTACAGAAAGCCCAAGTACCTCGCCACAATAGTATTTTCTGCCAATGCTATATTGCTTGGATTCACTGCGAGCAATTGTGTTGTCAGTCATGTCTTTTTTTGTGTGAGTATTCGGTATTGAAACTTAATTGCTCCGTCAAGGTTTTTGCTAGCAAGTATGTATTTTGGATCTTGATGAAACGACTCGACTGATATGATGTAGCATCTTAGTTGCTGCTGGTCGACCCGCAAGTCGCTGGAATGAGCGTGGAATTGCACTTGGAGGTGTGTCTTTTACCTAACTGCCATGTCGCGGTCATTCCATGGCCTCTAGTCATATTCTTCGTAACTCTTCTACACGGATTGATCCCTAAGATTGGCATACTGATCATGAACGTATACAAGCTTTCATTTTTACACTGTCATTATATCTAACATATTTTCAGTTGCTCTCGATGTTCAAGATCGTAATTCTGGTGTTCGTTGTGATCACAAGCTGGGTAGTTCTCTCTGGAAAAACCTGTGTCGTGGATCCGTACTATAATTTTAGAAACACATTTGCGGGGAGCTCCACGAGTAGCAACGACGTGCGTTCAATGATATGTCTAGATGCCCATATGATGATCATGGTCTTCACAGTATGCCACCGCCATATTTAAAGTCCTGTACGCATATTCGGGATGGTCCAACGTGAACTACGTGATGAACGACGTTCGCAATCCAGTGAGGACACTCAAGATCGCAGGCCCGCTCGGTCTTGGTATATGCACCGTTTTGTACTTGCTTGCAAATGTGGCATATTTCTCGGCTGCAACCAAGGTAAGAACTTCTTTGTTATCTCCATCACGAACGAAATACTGAATAGTATCGATAGACGGAGATTGATGAGTCTGGCGTTACTGTCGCTGCCTTGTTCTTCGGGAATGTCTTTGGTTCTGTTGCGAAGCGTGCGCTATCTGTCTTCATTGCCCTCAGGTGAGCTCGACGTCCTGAGTTCGAGGGTTTCTTGACTCATTGTCTTCATGACAGTGCTATTGGAGTGAGTCCTATGTATTTCGTATCACGATCTCTGCTTGATGATGGGACATAGAACGTTATCACTGCGGTAAGTCGAAGGATGCTATGGAGATGTGTAGCTCAAGAACTTTTTATCTAGACTTTTTCTGCGTCACGAGTAAACCAAGGTTCGTCATACCAAGCATCGTAATTATACCTAGCTTATGCTTCAATTACAGAGCTCGCAAAGGAAGGGATACCCTTTCCATTCGGAAACAAATTCTGGGCTTCAAATTGGCCCACTGGGAAGTCCCCACTTCCGGGATTGATAATCCATTTAATACCCTCCGTAAGCGCTACCCCAGAACCAAAATATCAATCTGAGATCGGTTTTCTAGGTTATCGTCATCATCGGCCCTCCCCCAAACATTGCTTATCCCTTCATTTTGGACATTCAAGAATACCCAAAGCAAATTATCAATTTCTTTATTGTCATCGTACGTCTTTGAGCTCTTTTCTCGAGTGTTTCTTATCTCTTGATGCTATCAGGCTTTGTTTTATCTAAGATGGAAGAAGCCAGATGCTGTTCGGCCATTCAAAGGTGAGAAAATATGTCGCTCTTCCTGTGTGGTATCTCAATGCGTATGATGTAGTATGGTGGCCTCTCGCTGTATTCTTCTTAGCTGCTGCTTCCTTCCGTGAGTTACCAATCTACAATTCGAACACTTTCTTTCCCTGACCAAACCTCCACTCAGTCCTCATCGCTCCCTTCCTGAAACCATCCAATGGCGTTGGCGACACCCCACCACTGCCATATTACCTGTACGCTTCTTCCACCAATCCTTATCCACACGTCCCTTATTCATTCCTCGCCTGTCGTATAGGTACTGTCTCGTAGGAATCGCCGTCATGTTCGTAGGCGTGCTGTACTGGGCCGCGTGGCGAATCATGCTGCCTAAGGTATTTGGCTATGAGCTTGTACCGAGGAAGGAGAGGTTAGACGATGGGACTTTTGTTACTGTAGTGAGTGTTGGCTTTTGATTCTGTGTCTCCTGGTTTGGCTCACGGATCTTATTTTTAAGTTTTCGAGTAAAAAGATGCAGTGATTTGGAGGTTGATTGGAAGTGCTGGTAAGTTGGTCTTTGTATCAATTTAGTGTAATGTTGTTGTTGTAGTGATCATGTACTTGACATGCGTAGTTTATCATTCATGTATTCAGGTATAGCACTGCTAGAGTGTAGAACGGACCCTCGGTCAGCTCTACTTTCTGGTCTGTGCCGCCTGAAGTTCTTGCCAACACCTGCGTTTTGAATATCTGACTAGTCAATAATCCCGTTGGAATTATGGTCTCTCATGACATTTTCTGCTTGAATCGATGGATGCAATAATGCTGTTGATGATGAAACTGATAATTGGATGATATGTGCAAGTCTACGCGGCGGAGTACGTGTTCGAATCATGATATGCCAGCACACCACACCACCTACATACGAAGGAAACATGCATATGACGAGACATGCCTAACATACTAGAGTCACTGACCCCAAAGGATTGCAAACAAAGTTTACGCAGTCTTGAGATGCTGCACACCCCGAAGCTCTCTACTAAATGCATAGCACCAGCGCACGATGCAGAGGACTGTCAACAAGCACAACAACGCAACAAGAGCGATGCAACCTTGCAGTAGGTAATGCATGTCTAGCGCTAGCGCATTTGTTGTCACAGTCAGGTTTTCCACGAGCAGCGCCAAAGTTGCGCCAACATCGGAGGAGAGTGTGTCGGTTTTCTGCGTGAGGCGCTCGACAACGACGGTCAGGTCTTCTACGAACAGCGTAAAAGACGCGAGGGTTGTGGTCATGTCTGAGGAGAGGGTGTCTGTCGTCTGCGCGAGGCGCTCGACAGTGGTGATGAGAGAGTTTACGAGGTGCTTCCCGCCCAAGCTGTCTATCACTTGTTGGGCGATTTCGGCATTGAAGACATCGATGATTGCCATTGATTGAGGGTGTTTGTGAACTGGTGGAGGCTAGGACATCAGCATGAATTGTAAGTGAAAACTGTATCACTTGCTCAGTGTGGGGGCCAATTGTGGGTTGATGAATCCAAGTAATTCGAACGCGGCTGGTGGTAGTCAGGAACGTCATTTCTACAGGTTGAAGCCATGCACTTACACTCATGGCCTATGCACCGCCCCTCAGCCTTGACTTGGGTGTGCACTTGAATCCAGATGCTTTTTGCCTGACTGGGATCGACGACACGTGCCTACAAACCCTCACTTATCTTCACTGTGACTTCGAGATGCGGCGCTCACTAATACCCTCGGCGTCAACAAGTGCCTGAGAAAGTTTGAATCTTGATAGTCACATCGTCACATCAGGAATAGCCTAACCTGAAGTTGGACTCCATCCTATACATGCAGAACGCTGGCTTCCATGTACACGAGACACTGATATTAATACTAACACGCACATGACAGGATCAGGTGTTCATCGTGTTGGACACATTTATATACTGAGTCCTTCCCATCATGATATCACACCAGTCCCACAATGCAGCCCACTAAACAAACACTCCCAATCGGCGGTCTCCTCGTCGATGTTTACTCCCACCCAACTTCAATCTCTAGCTCTACAAACCCCATCCACGCACTCTTCTTTCTGCATGGCCGCTTCGACAGCGCACAAGATCAATATATAGTCGATACCATTAAAGTCATTTTTGATGAGAGTTATGGATCGGGTGTGGGAGAGAGGAAGAAAGATCTTATCGTCATTGCTTTTGTGAGTCACTTTTTGCTTCGTCTTCTTAGGGAAGAAAAGGTTGATAGTGTGTGGGGGAAAAGGATCACAGGAACCACGGGACGAGACTCGTGAACCAGCAGCGGAATTTCGCGTGGAGCAAAGAACCGGCTGAGAATAATGATCAGCATGCGTACGTTGCTGTTCATTCATAACATGACAACGTCCCTTCATTTGAATACAGGGTAGACATGTATACCATCCAAAGTATGTCCAGGTCACAACCAGTACTAAACATGAGTCGTAAATCTGACCCCACTCAAAGCTGGTACAGCACAAGACGTGTCCTTCTTAATCGACCACATTCCTTCCTCCCTCTATCCCTCGGGTGAGCGAACGATTGTGGAATGGGGTATGGGCGGTGTGAGTCTTGGAGGACATTCGACGTGGATTGCGCTTTCTAGAGGTACGTATCCAGCTCATCTAGCAACTTCATCCACACTCACAATCCCTTAGAACCCCGCCTCACCCTCGGAATCCCCATAATCGGCTGCCCCGACTACATGAAACTAATCTCTCGACGTGCCCAATCCTCAAACATCCCCCTCTCCCCACCTTACTTCCCCACTTCCTTTATGACTTACGTAGAAAGGCACGACCCTGCACAACTGGCGTACCGCGCGAAGGACGCTTCCAACCCGTTTTTAGGGAAGAAGGTGTTGGTGCTTTCGGGGAAGGAGGATAAACTTGTGCCATGGGTGGCGTCGGCTGAGTTTGTGGAGGGTCTTGAAGTTGGAGAGGAGGGTGTGAAGAGGGTGGTGGTGGAGGAGGGGGCAGGGCATGAGTGTACGAGTGGGATGCGGAGGGAGGCTGGGTTATTTGTGCGGGAGTGGTTGAGGTTGTGAACTGGTGTTGTTTTCATTTTTGAGACGAGAGTTTTATTGAAGGATGTATTATGATTCAGAATATGTTTGTTATCTTGAAGCAAGCTATGACCTTGAATAGTGTCTCTTATCACTTCCCATGCATGATGCCATACTGTCCATGTCGAAAGCGCGACTGCCGACGAGTTGAGAAGACCCTCTAGAAACTTTGCCGACAACGATGAGGGTAGGAAGCGCTCTTCCAGTATCTCTGGGGTTGTACTAGCGAAGGGACCACAGCAACATTGGAGCGGGGCGCTCTGGCAGGACAGGACGGGAGTGGCAGGGGTCCTGGCGCGGTGGCAGGAGCCCTGGCTCGTAGTCGGTAGTCCACGCGTGTCGTAGCCTGTCCTCGATAGATAGAGCCGTAGCCTCCCGCTATAGAGGTTTGGCCTTGGTTCCCCTTGCAGTCCGTGCCCGTTCCAACATACATCGACGCAATAGAGTTCTACCCTAGAACTTTATTGTGTCGATGTACATCTGCAGTGCTGCTAATCACGCGAGCGTTGATGAAATGAGTACCGTCTTCGGGTGCCAGAGAGAGGCACAAAGCCATCCATCTTCCAAAACCGTTTTCTCGCCTCCAAAGTGTAAGGAGTAGAATTTTGGATGCCTACTACGCCGTGAAAAGAGCACGCAGAGGCCATGACGATGGTAGACGTGACAAGGAGAAAACTTAGGAGAGAAAGAGGCGGCTGAGATCGAAAAGGAGAGAATAGGAGACATAAAGATCGGGAGCAGGGGCTAGAGCACAGGTGGCGCTCAGGTGGAAATTGGTTCCGCGGGATCGATCGATATGTTAGATAAAGTTTCAAGTATGTGTCCCCACTAGTCATCCTAAGATCCACGCGTGTTCTGTATGCAAATCCGCTGCCGCCTCTCTTAGTCTGGTGATCACAGCATGCTCTGTAGTTGCGGTAGCTGCAAGTCCTAGAAGTCGGGCGTTAGACCAGCTGATCGAGACTCCATATGTCATCGAATGATGATCAAATCAATCTAATAACACATGGCATCTCGAGCTGATGCTGCCACTCTCGAAGACAACCATAAATGCGAGGAAATAGAACTACTCACCTTTCCCCATGACCTGGGTCGCGACAGTCCTTTCTCCTCTTGTCCAGTATGTGTTTTTGTTGTCAATGTATCAAGTTTTGTTCAACCGGGGTGGACTTACTTGCGCTCCTCGGCTTTTTGAGCCTCTTGGCGCCGAAGAAGCAGACTAAATGTGATAATGCCACCCCGGACCCGGCAGGTACTGAGGAGCAAACGGGATAGAATGCTAGCAACACCTGCAGAGCAGGGCCAACGATCCACGCCCGAGCCACCACTAGGTCCCGACCTGGATAAGAGCGACCACCGATGCCCTGAAAAGGACGTGATGTCAGCGGCGGGCTAGAAGATCAAAGTGGAATGTACCCTCTCATCTCGCCCTCGAACTTACGAGCTGCGAGAGTTGCGTGGACCGGGGTGCCTAGACCATGGTGCGGGCCGGTACAACCGAACGAGGTAGTGAGTTCAGACTGTGTCGATACCTGCACCTGATCGCCGTGAGCCTTTCCCAAACCTGAAAATGACGCAATAGATGTCATTGTGCAAGGAATTGTTCTAGTAAAATCGTATACTGCTCCTGATATAGAATGACGTGCCAAAAACCATGGAAAGCTCGTCATGGAGGCCTTGAATCATTTGTAGAACACTGCAAGATGAGCCAGCATCAGAAGCACCGATATTATGGACTGAAGTCTCACCTAAAAGTCCTTCTTGCTCCCAACCGTGGCATGGCCTGGCGAGAGTCCACACCAATTTTAACTTCAGTACAATTCTATATGATGGCACGCACACATCATGTGCAATACACAAAATGCATTAGAAGTCGGATGGTCTCCTAACGGACCCTGGTATGCTCCAATATTGGTGACTATCATGCCTGCGTCTTGAACCGTCTGAGGAAAAAAGTATGTGACGACGAGAATAGCCTGTTTCGTTTGCGCTAGTACAGCACCATCGACCTGACGGCTGTGAGCGTGTACCATGGAAAGACATCGTGGAGACCCACTTATTTCTTGCCCTGAACCACAATAAGAGACGAATCATCCCCGTAGGCATCCGACGATAGGAAGAAGTATTTCTGATTAGCGACACGGAAGCCAGAGGCCTGAACAGCAGCTTTGTTCGTGAACGCAGCAGCTTCCGCTCTTCTGATGAGATTCATGCAATAAATTACCGTGATCCCTGATGATTTAGATCGCGGCCTGAGTTACTACAGTGCCGACGAGGTTGTTGTCTACGTATGCTGTGGATGCATAAGACAAAAAGCTTGCTTTGCCATGCAGTTCAACTTGACTTGCTAGGACATATCACGAAGGACTGAAATCAAGACAGTAGAAAAGGTCGCGCGTATTGAAACTGAGAGACAAGAAAGAGTCTGGCGCAGCAACCATGATATCGGCGTTGGAAAGCAGGCCGCAGATATCAAAGTGCGGAGTTCCCTAATAAGCAAGTGGACCACCGGATCAATCCGCGACGGATACTTCTCTCGAGAGAACCACCGTCCTGTTTGGGGTGTGACAGTTCGGCGAACGCCGTCCCAGAGATGCTGACTTAAGCACGGACGGTCTTGTCAGTTGCCTGCTGAGCGCTGAGGCTCGAAAGTGAGTATAGCGTTTGCAATGCTGACGTGCCCGTCCCCCAGATCCCATTGCTCGCTGCCAAGCACGTCGTGGAGCACGTACTTTCCTCCATCATTGATGATACAGTGCTCCAGCAGCCCAACCCCTTCAGCTCACTCATCACTCTCTCGAACGGTTCCAGCTCGGCTGCAGACCCGAGCACCCCTGATGCACTAGCACCGGCTGAACTCAACGAGGCCAGTTCTTTCACCATCATCTTTGGTGTTTCAGCTTTCGTCGTTCTCGCTGGAACATATCCCTGGTGGAGATCCTGCATTGCACGAGCCTTCCTTGGCAACAGTGACGAAAGAGGCATCAACAACGTCCCCAGCTTTGTGAAAATGAACACCACCAGCACTTCTGGATCGTGTCCCACCTCAGATGGTAACGGTAATGAGGCATTTTGGAATGCTGATGCTGGTACTCATGACTGAGTGCCAGGTGCGCTTCAACTTAGTGAAACTCAAGGCAGCCCTCGGAGCAACTGTCTGTCAGTCTCCTCTGACGAGCAGTCCCTTCCCTTTCCACTGCGATTCAGGCAGGACGGAGGGCCATCAGTTCAATACCTCCACATGTAAGTTTCAATGTGTCGCTCGCCTGCCTCCTTGTGACACTCATAATGGTACCACAGCTATAACATGACTGCGAAAGTGCTGAAGCAACACTGCATCGAATTCAGCCTCTCCCAGACGGGCAACAAGACCGTGCTAGTTGAATGACTGGAGGCATTCAGCCGCAATCCTGAGTCATGGAACAGGTGCGCGACTATTTTGACTTGATTCAACCGGGAGCTGAACTGTTACTGGAGTGCCCACCCAGGTGCCCACAGGTCTCATAAGGGACCTCGAGTGAGGAGGCCTGTAGACAAGCCCAGGATGAGCCGTACCAAAAAGTCTACGCAGCGCCGCGCACAGCTCATTCCAGGCACCAATGCTATCAATGGAACTGTGACTGTCACTGATCGATCAAAGGACATGCTGTAGAGACTCGTGCGTCTCATGGTCTGATATGGCACTTTACACTAGGAAGTACATAGCACGAACTTGTAGCGTCACTCTGTGCACTACCCACAGCTATCTCTATATGACGCGCAGCTTTCCCGCGCAATGCGGGCACCATTCCCACACTTCGCGATGTATACACGCGCGCGCGTTCCTGCGCTTGCGCGCCCTATGGCGCCAGCCATCCAGAAGCATCCATCCACTGTCCACCAAGCTCCCTAGTGCGTATATTTTTATTTCTCTCATTGCATATTATTCCATCTTTATTTTTATCATGGACTCTCACATATATATATTTTTACATACCTACTCGGTAGCGCTTTGGCTCCGCATGACCGTGCTATATAAGTGCCAGCAGTACATACTATTACTTACCTTACTTTACCTCCCATTTACTTATTACTACTCACTTACTACTTAGGAGAACATAGTAGAAACCTATTCCTTTAGATCTCGCGCTCTCACATCTCTTGCATCATATTATCACTTAAGTCTAGTCTATCTATCATTCCGCATACGCGCGCGCGCTTTCCCACGCTTCGCGCTAATACGCGCGCGTGTTCCCGCGCCTTGCGCGCACCTGCGCTTTCTCGCGCTTCGCTGAAGCGCGTACCTCTAGATCTTTGCAGCGCTCGCTTCCCCTAGGGTCGAACGCACTTGTCTCCTCAAGTAACGCAGACTAGGCAACGCACGACCTCACAACTTTTTATAGATACTGTCAGGAGCATCATTTGTTCCACTCAGTATTGTTGTTTCTACAACGCGCACCTCAGCTGAGGTTGCTGCACTGTTACCATGGGTGAGCCACTGTTTCTTTCCTCTTCTTTTTTTGATTCGTCTCTGTCATGTTGGACTGGTTGACCATTGGCCTGACAGGCACATGCAGAAGTTATGAGTTAATGAAGAAGATACTGTTTTGTGATAAGACAATGACCCTAAGTATACCTCTAAATAAGCCACCAATAGCTTGCAAACCATGATATTACTATTCTATCATGTTCAACATAGACCCAAGACATCAACCATATTGAATACCCCTGAGAATCACTCAAGAAATTACTTGTAGCATATCAAGATTCACTGTAGGGGCTATTCCAACTATGAGACAGTGTCACAGCAAAGTATGATGGAATCACCAAAGAGAAATACCCAAAATTGATAGAGAATATGTTTAGAAGAGTGGCAGAAGTGATTGGAGCAGAAGGAAACCACACACAGTACTAGAATTATAGAGATTACATTAGTAAAACTCAAAGTCAAAAAAGTGTCCCAATGAGTCATCAAATTAAAATACTCATATCTTCACATAATGTCATTAGTTTCCCACGGTATAGGGAACCGAAATGAAGCTGAGATGCAGACCTTTCCGACATCTCCCTATAGCTTAGTCATATTCCCATGTCTCGACACATGATATAGCAATTACATGAAAAGCTACAAACATTGGGACACTTTTTTGAGCCACTGTAGAAAGGCGCTGGCCCTTGAGAAGGATTTGTGAGTGGGGGGGGGGGGGGGGGTGGAGCACTGAATTCACCAACATGACAATAGTCAAGTATCTCATATCTTCAAATGATGACCCTGCAGAGCCAAGGGACCATTTTTTCAATCCCAACCAGCGTCCAGCTATCAAGTGTCCACAATGTGGCCGAGGCTGCTTATGTGCTTGATTGTAGTAGGGTGACAAGTACTGGTGAACTTTGAAATCACAATAATGGCCTCATTTCCTGTCATACCCAAGACCAAACCAATAGCATTAGTTCATAATACTATACATGTGATGAAAAGCTTCAGAGGAGATACAAGTACAATATGTCAAGCTTTGTATCAAAGGGTGAGATCAATCAATTCACAATCATCCTCGTTGTCACCCGTGAGATCAATTATAATACCATCTGCAAGCACTACTTCATCTTCCTCTTGTGTGAGATCAATAATGCTCACAGGAGAGGCAGCACCCACAGGGACCACACCTGCAGATGATCCATGGACCACATGCGATGTCGACAGTGAACTACTCTATCCATTTGTCAGCATGAACGACGACAATGTTGTTAATAGACATACCTCAAGTTGGGGAACCACGTGCGATGTTGACAATGAACTACTCTATCCATTTGTCAGCATGAACAATGACAGTGTTGTTGATAGACATACCTCAAGTTGGGGAACCACGCACGATGTCGACAATGAACTACTCTATCCATTTGTCAGCATGAACGACAACGGTGTTGTTGATAGACATACCTCAAGTTGGGGAACCACGCACGATGTCGACAATGAACTACTCTATCCATTTGTCAGCATGAACGACAACGGTGTTGTTGATAGACATACCTCAAGTTGGGGAACCACACGCGATGTCGACAATGAACTACTCTATCTATTTGTCAGCATGAACGACGACAGTGTTATTGATAGACATACCTCAATTTGAGGATCACCTGAAGACGACAGGAACATTGTCTGCACCCAACAGTCATAGATTCGGTCAGCAAGCCATACTTGAACATACTTATGCAAGTCATCCTGACAGCCTTCAGCTGACTCTTCAAGTAGCCGGAGTGTGGCTTTCTTAAGTGTATCAGTGGGCACGTCACTGTTATGCCCTGAAATTCCTACAATTGCCTTCTTTGGGCATGATGCACGGTTGAGAAAAACAGCCCTTGTGCAGCCCGAGGCAAGGTCAATCTGCATCAAGTTAGTATATTCAGATAGAGTGACACGGTCCACAGACCTCATTGCTCATAGGTGAGTTATTGGCAAGGTCCTCCAGAAGCTCGTGCAAGATGACAACAGGCCAGACAGTAGTGCGGAAAGTGCTGAGAAGCTTCTTTGAGTCCCAGCCCAGGAGCTGCTGAATAAGAGCTGCAAGCCGAGCGAGGTTAGGTGGGGTTGGAGGTCGCAGTTTGGGCAGCTCAGTGAGTGGAGTCACAGCAGGATGTGCATACAAATTGATGATTCCTGGATTAGGGAAGGAATCAGAAAGTGAGTGAGCGAGGGCTGGATGTGATCGGCCCATTTTGCCAGTTGGATTGCTTGCAAGGTGATATTCAGCAATGTTCTGCCACCGTTGGAGGGACAAGTCCTGGTTACCACTGTGCATGGCACTGTGTAGCATATTATTGTCCATTCAGCGGACCAGACCAAGTGCAGTCTCGCGTCCGCACCCTGGAAGACCATTCTGAGACAGATGTTAGTGGCAATTGATCTCCGCCAAACAGCAGCTCGATGCTTACCTTATCATAATCACCCCCACAGCAAATAGCAATGGTAACAAAAGCATCACCAGTAAGAGAATGGTCGATGTGTTCCTGGATGGTGCTGACAGTATAAATCTTGATGGTGTCGGACAAAAATGTCGAGCTAAGGCAGGAGGACAGGGTCAGGAGGACATGGACGTGGAAGAAGAACACTGACTTTCGAAGGACAGTTTGGGCACCAAATATGAAGATATCACTGTCATCTGTCATGACAGCGTCGATGATACCAGCCCTGTTCATCAAGGCCAGCTGCGCCTCAGCTTCCCCCGCAGCCTGGATATCAGGCTTGAATAACATAAGGATAGAGGACAGAAAATCAAACGCACCACAATCCACTCAGTGTTGAAAGCATCCAAGATGCGCTGCGTTGGCTTCACCATCCAGTGTTCATTCAAAGACACTATATGTCCTCGCTTGACACCAGGCCGCTGATTACCATCATAGCAGAAGATAAGTTGCAGTGGATACTGGGCGAGTCGGGCGAGTCGGAATAGAAATGTTCGTAGGGCAGGATTCTGCCCAGTCTGAGTATGCGCTCGGTGCCACTTGCCTTGTTGGCACTGTTCGAACCATCCACTGGATGGTAGTAGACATTAGTGTTAAATGTGGATGCAGCTGATGTCCAAACGCTGACCTTGCATCAACACCCACCACGTAGGGCAGGTGAGGGGCAGGCCCTATGTAGCAGCCCTGGAGGGCAAGAGAGATGACAGGTATCGTTTTTGCGGCAGGCTCAAGTAACTGTAAAGCCAATGAGGTCCGAAATCGTTTAAGTGGCAGGCACACATACCTCCCACAGGCCATTTATGCCCATGATGATGACAAGTAATCCCTTTGGTTTATTGTTGCGCACTGGTGTATCTAAGCTAGTGCACAGATGTGTGCAGGAACAAGTTAGTGTGCTGCCCCCTAAAAAATGCGCACATGTTTACCTATGTTTGCCTTCAGAGGAGGGATGCGATGTTGGGTGGGACTTTTGCATTGAGCAGTAAAAATTTGCGGCAGAAAGGTCTGATCGGTGAAGGTACAACAATTCAGATGGTGAGTCTGAACAATGTGTTGGGTCTTGCAGAACCTAGCTGCTATTCGACCCTAAAGGGTTTCTGGACCAGGCTCAAGGCTCAGAGTAGAGGAAATATCATAAATACTTGCTGATCTCTCAGACTCTTACTGGTAACTGGTGAAAAGATTGATTGATTATGTAAGCTACAAAAGTGCCAACATAAGGTAAGGTAAAAACAGTCTCTACAAGCCCAGCCAGAAATGAATCCCTACATCGGTTACATTCTTCCATGATCCATTTTGCGGTTGCTTTAGGTAAAGAATCAGATCATTGTGTCATAAGCATTCTGGCAACCTGGACTTACCACCGTTCTACTAGAGGCAGGATTGCCATAGTGGATTTTCGGCATTGGAAGGACACATGTGACTAAGGTAGGGTCGGGGGATACAGTGATCCCAGCGTCTTGCAAGAACAGCGAGGTTTGATACTCTAGCGCCTGTACTAACAGTCACTTAAACACATGAAAAAATGAATGTGTCACTTACAGAGCGTTGGTCGGACGTAATCGGGTTGTTGATGCCAGCGCTGATAAGCGCCAGGCAATCCTGGGGTTCTTGGACGAGTTTGATCATCAAGAATGAGAACTCAAGTGGAGGTTTTCGCGTATAATGTTGATCGTACATCTTCATTGGAAGGACACGCATGAATAAGATAGGGTCGGGAGATAGAGCGATCCCAGCATGTTGCAAGAACAGCAAGCTTTGAGGACATGCGTGACTAAGATAGGGTTGGGGGATACAGTGATCTCAGTGTCTTGCAAGAATGGTGAGTTTTGATAATCTAGCGCCTGTACTAAGAGTCACTTAAACACATGAAAAGACGGATGTGTCACTTACAGAGAGACAGAGTGGCCATGGTAGTGGATTGATGGCGTCGAGAGGACACTGCAGAAGCTGTAGGTTGAGGATCAGATAATGGTGCGCATGCCTTCTGGCATCCTGGACTTACTAAGTTACCACCGGCCTACCAAAAGCAGAATTGCCACCATTGACGCTGTTGAGAGGGCACGCTAGTTGACAGAGATATGATCAGGGTCAACCATGTCTTGCATCAACACAGAATTTAGGACCTACAGACACAACACCGAAATAGACGCCAAACCAGCGAGCACCACAATAGATATATCAGACTTGGGACTGTCTTTAGCGCACGTGCGACTGTCTTTAGCATGCCAGGACGGTCTTTTTCTTTGCCAGATGGTGGATATGAGCGTGGGTCCCTTGGTTTTGGCAGAGAATCCTGCCCATCCCACTAGAGTTTCTTGGGCGAAAAAAGACCCTCCCAAATGGTGTGACATCGCGGACCTATCTTCCGAACCGCATGGAGCCTTTGCTAACTCAATGTGGCAGTAGCAGCTCGATGCCGGCAATGGAGCATTCCTGCAGGTACTACACTAGTCAGCACACATCTTCAAATCCAAACTGTCTCTACTCTCACAAACCGTCTCTCCTTTTGAAAACTCGTGCTCCCATTCGTTTCCAGACCCCATGCCTTCGGTGAGTGGACTACCCATACCCAAACTTCCTCCGCATTTTCTCATGTGCAAGACTCAGACACCCGTGTGGTGTGACGTGAGGGCCATCATGATCACTGCACTGCAATGAACTTGGCACCTGCTGGGCCTTGGGATTCTTCATCGTTTTTGCTGGTGCTGCAACGAGGGCAGTTCAGAAAAGAGATGTTTGGCAGCGTCGGATCTCGTGCCTCGTTGAATTCGTGTGCCTCTAGCTGAGTGCTGAGGGGTGTCCGGTGTCTCTTCTAGCGCCGATCGCGATTTGTCCAAACTTTCGATGGTCACCTGGTCACTGTCCGTCACTGCGTGACCGTCCGTGACTGGACCGTGGTTTTTTGCGCCGGCAGCCATACTTCTAAGATATATGGCCTCATTCATACTCTGGTTCATCACATGACTTTAGTGTGACATTTCACTGAATTCACCTGTAGCTCGCTGTACATGGAGTGTAATTGAAAATGGTTCCATGATTATGTGCATAGAGTATGTGGCAATACACCCATGTAATTTTTACGAGTTTAATTGAGAAAATGAGGAGCGAGTAGGCATTACAGTTATCAAAAAGCTTAAATGTGCAAAATGAGTGACATCAGCGCCACCTGCATACCAAGATGGGTTAGATAGAAATGAAGAAAAAAGAAATTTGGCAAGCATCTTGAATGGTCAACCAACCTCAACATGCCATGGAAGCACCAGTGAATGGAAATGCTCTATACCGCTACCTATGTGTGATTGACTGAAGTAGCGCTGAGCGCTCCACCGCTGATTGTGGCGCTGTTCGATGGTCACAGATGGTCACCAAAGTCACGAGTCACAACAGTGCATCTGCCACCAAAATGCCTACTCCTCCTTTGATTGTCTGAAAATTGAAATTATAAGTAGGGCGTTCTGATACTATAGCAATGCTTGCAAAATCACGGAACAGTCTTCGCTACTTGTACGTTGCTGCAGAGTTATGAGGCAAAGATGTGTTTTTGACCTCTTAGGTCACGTGATGAACCAGAGTATGAACAAGGCCTATCTTATCAAGCGCCCCGGGCCATGGAGGCAGGCTTGTAGTAACAGCTTTCCTCCAGCAATATAGTACTAAGTATTGTTTCAGCAATCATATAAGCACGACGAACAAGAATGAAGGCATGTTGTAATACTAGTCCCATATATAAGCCACTAGTGAGTGGCACTGTGGAAGGCAGAGACACTTCGCTTGTGGGACTTGAAGACAGGTATTGTGTTGAAAAATACGGAGGGGCATCACAGAGGGATGCGGCTATTAGCAGTGTGGCAATGGTGAGGAGATTCCGAGGCTGTACCACGAAATTTGGTTGCATCTTGTGCACACAAGGATCTGGGAGTCTGTTGGATGGAGAAGTGGCATTGCAGTAAGCTATATACATACGTTCAAAGGAGTAACATGGTGATAAGCTGGAGTAGCTGCTAGATACGAAAAACAACAGTATTCATGCAAGATAGACAGTCAGATTCGAGTGCTGGAAAGTACGAACTGGTCAACTTGATGCAATAGGATACATTTTTGAAGCTGCGAATACAAGAGTCAGACACATGTATGCACTGCAGATGTGCATACTGTCGAGGACAGCGGGTATTACCTTGCGGAGCAAGGTCACTTCAATGCGGTGTTTTCTGTGGATTGAAAATAGAGATAAACATATGCATATAAGGAACATGATGCAACCCTGTGCACACAGGTTGAATATATCATCCAAAAATCCGGATCATCCCGTTCTCATGTATTTTTCACTCCAGTGACGTGTAAGTATTGTCTATGCATGGTTGTAAACTCTAATTGTTTGTATGTTCAAGCTTTTGACCCATAGTCCTAACTCTAGTTCTTTTTTCTGTGACCTCTCAGAACTTACATTCCCTTCTGTTACCATGTCTCTCATATTCACATGTACAAATAGATGCCGTCGCAGTACTTTGGGCCTCACTATGATGATTCTGTCTGTGACCCAGAGACAGAAGCAAAATCTCTAACTGGAATCAATGATGGAGTCGAAGGTGGTGAGGTACTAATCCGTGACTATGATTGTACATTTCAAGATGGATTAGCGTGTACAAGACACTGTTTTACAACGATAAGGGGGGAAAGCATGCCAAACCATTGTGGCACCTCTAACACATGGAACTGTTCTTCTCCATTGGTTAGTGATCCTGGGCCTTGTTCTTGACCGCAGACTAACACTGACTGACTAGCCACAGAAATGAATGCCTACCAGCCATATTCACATTCTGATAAACATTATATGAACTCCACAGTGTCATACTAGAATTCAATGAGCTATTTCGACCAAATGAGTACCACAATTATGAGCTTTGAACCTTGTGCACACCTCGTATACCTCACTCATCATTCATTGCTCCAACCCAAACCGAAATGTCAATAACAGATCAGAACCATGTGCCATCGCACTACAAACAGGCAAATCCCGACGAAGAACTTGAAAGTCAGCCAGAGGCCAAGAAAGTGCAGCTTGACTCAGAAGAAGGTGCATCGGAAGGGTAAGCAAGGATGGAAAGATCTGTTGAATCAAGTGTATTTGTATCAGAGCGACCAAGGCTTTTCAGGCTTCTTACTGTCTACTAGCATTCATATTGTGAATGTAAAAGGTTACGACAACAGCAACATTTGAGGTGCCTAGAGATGAGGGACGACATATTTTGAGCTAGAGGAAGACTTTTCCATATCTGTAATCACACTTTAGGGTTGGGAATGCAGCCGCTTGCATTCCGAACCCTAATATATGGGTCTAAATGGATGTTTCGAGATTTTTCATCCAAAGATTTTTTTAAGTGTCATGACAATGCCACAAAAGCACACCGTGACATACCTTGTGAACACCAAAGAGCGGACAGCGTAGACAAGAGCATAAGAGTTCAGATGCAAGACGAAGTAGTATAGAGTTCATGTAGGCCCGACGAGAGCAAGAACAATAATTTGATGGCGGGAGGGTGAGCAACAAAAACGAACTCCGCAAGGTCACATGTCGGCAACGCCGACACCTAGTGACAATAGGGTGAGTGCATTCACATCGGGGTGAACGATATTTAAAAGAGGTTTATATGTTGTACAAAATGTGAAAACAATATTTGATATTTAAACTAACATAAAGATGGGTGCACGACTTCAAATTTTGGTGGTGTTTTGTGTGTCATCCAAAATATCAAATATTCACGACCATATTCCCACAGACAATATGTCAACAAATATAATAAATATAATCAGATTTTCCATGTCTGCTTCAATTTAAAGTTTGCTTCTTACATAAAACTTTGGAGAAAACTTGAAGTTTTGCCAAAGCTTGACATTTAAATCGAGTTTTAATGTCATGTCATCTGTAAAACTTCAAGTTTTCTCCAAAGTTTTACATGGAAATTGAACTTTAAGTTGAAGCAGACATGAAAAATCTGACTATATTTCTTATGTTTGTTGACATATTGTCTGTGGGAATATGGTTGTGAATATTTGATATTTTGGATTACACACAAAACACCACCAAAATTTGAAGTTGTGCACCCATCTTTATGTTAGTTTAAATATTAAATATTGTCTTCACATTTTGTACAACATATAAACCTCTTTTAAATATCGTTCACCCCGATGTGATTATGGTGATGGAGGCGTGGGCACTAACAGCCTTAGATATCCTGGGCGTCTATTGAAATGAGGCAAGCTGTGAAGCACCATAAAACGCACCATACACCCTCTGCAGCTTAGAGAAAGACATAATCTATCCAAAGTTTAGCCTCGTCCGTATTCCATACCATCAACATCCAGTAAAATGTCGGAGATCATTAGAATCACCACTCCCCTGCGATCGTTCAAAGGCCATGGATTACCCATAACTGCAGTCGCAGTTTTCCCTGATAAACGTCGGATGGTTACGGGCTCGTACGACACAACGCTTCGTATGTGGGACTTGAAGACAGGTGTTACGTTGAAGAAGATGGAGGGGCATCGCTGTTGGGTGACGATATTGGCGGTATCACGAGATGGGCAATTGATAGCAAGCGGTGATGAAAGGGGAGAGGTCATCGTCTGGCACGGAGAAACTTGCGAATTACTCACCAAAATCGAAGCACACTCCTATTGGATCTACTCGCTGGAATTTTCTCCCGATGGAATAGTGCTGGCCACTGGTTCAGATGACGAAATGACGAAACTGTGGAATACCAAAACCTGGCAGCTGCAAGGAGATCCGATCGAGTGTGGTGATTATGCCAAATATTGCGTACGGTATTCACCGTCTGGAGAACTTCTTGCCATCGCAACATACTATGATATTCAAATTTACAATTCAGGCACAAGGAAACCCGTCGCATCATTCAAGGGTCACCAATCACCCAACTTGTCACTCGCGTGGACGCCTGATGGCACACACCTTCTCACAGGCGGCGATAGTGAAGATCCTACTATACGCGAATGGGATACTAAAACCTGGGAGCAGGTCGGTGATCCTTGGACGGGCCACACTAATGATATCAATTCCATTGCCATTCATCCTGCTGGCACACTCGTCGCATCCGCATCTAGTGACAACCATATTCGTCTCTGGCAGCTGTCAGATCGACAAACCATTGCCGTCCTCGAGCACTCATTGACATCCTACAGGACATGCGTCACTTTCTCCGTGGACGGCAATCACATCTTCAGTGGAGGAAAACATCTGATGATCTCCGAGTGGACAGTACCTCAGGGTATACATCCAAAGGCATGTTTCCGTCTCTGACTCATATACCAAAAATCGAGCATGCTTCTTGCAGAC